TTGGAGAACCAACATCAGTTGCTACTCGAACAAAAATGTCTCATAGTGAGTGTAAACATATTTCACTATCAGTTTATAATAGAATTTGTTGGAATTATTAGGCTTATCAACACTGTTTTTCATTATAACTGAATGGTGGATCATGTATGGGACTGATGTACCAACGGTAAGAAAGTTAGCAATCAAAGTATTATCACAAACAGCTTCCTCATCTGCTTGTGAAAGAAATTGGAGTACATTTGCACTCATACACACAAAGCAAAGAAATAGGTTGGCTCATAGTAGGTTGGAAAAATTAGTTTATTGCTATTACAACATGAAGCTTCAAATTCGACATAAGGAAGCAGAAATAGATCATGTCGATTGTGGTGACTCACTAGATGTTTTTGATATTATTGCTGAAGATGATGATACAGAGGGTAACCAACTTTATCAATGGATTAGACCTCTTCATTTAGATGATGATAAAGGCAACTCAGCTCCCAGAGTTGCTGAAGAAGCACATAATGAAGGGATAAACGTAGAAAGAGTATTAGATGAGGAGGTGGGATCTAGCAGCGCTGACTCTTTGGAAGAACTTTTGCGCCCAAGACCAAGAAACACTGGAATTCCACCTTCTTCCAATCCTACACAACCACAAGATCATGCTAATACTAATGATAGATCTAGTACAAGATCAGGAAACTCACCTACCACCGGAGGTGGGAATGATGAAGGATAGTGTAGAGCTGGAGGTAGTGGTAGATATGGAAACTATGTTGGACCACCTCCCGGATTTATAAGCCCATTCACTGGTGAGGCAAACTTCACGCATGCAACACAGGATAAGGACCATGGTAGTAGGCGGGCATGACCAGGAATTGGTGTCATAGGGAAGGACTTTACTCGTAGAGAAAGAGGCAAGGGGACTTTGTCAAGTCAAGAAGATGACTCGTTATCTGTAACTTTGGACTCTGTTGGAGTGTGAAGTAGTAACTATGGTTATACTCATAACCAACCATTTCCCTACCCTTCATATCACATTCCTGTTGGGATGGAATCAAGCGACTCAGGGAAAGAATTCGAGACTCAATTTTTAAATGATTTTGCTCATGGACAACGTCAATCAATCTCGGATCCATATGAGTGACATGTTAACAATTACATGCAAAACTATTTTGGGGATTTATCATTTGATGACTACTCTTCACAATACACTTACTCTACACATAGAGATGATGAAGATAGTGAAAAATTTGAACCTCATAGGAACTCTATGTGGTACTAAGTCACTCATGTATCTTACCATGCAATGTATAAAGTGTAAAATATTGTACTAATTCATTATATATAAATGATTATGGTGTGTTTAAACTTCTTTCATTAATTACTACATATTTTCTACACTCACAATGTTTGCTAGCTCGCTATATAATCAACTTAAATCAGTTAAATCCATCATGAAATGCATTTCCTACCAATTTTTTTGTGATAAACTAATAGATAATTGACTAAATAAACATCCTACAAAGTTTCAATAAAAATTTCCAAGTTTTTCTTACAATTTCCATGATTTTTATTCAATTTTTATCGATATCGATAATATCCCGATATTTCCATCCAAATTTCCGTGTTTTTGAACTATCGATATTTCCGATATCAACGATATTTTATACCCTTCCGTTACTACAATGGTGGGAATGAGTTGAGATCCCTTGTCAATAGCTAATGTAATATAACAAAATTTATTGTTAAAAAATTAGCAAGGAATAACAATTGTCAAAAAATTTAAAAATATGGAGAAGTGGGGTATCGATCCCCATACCTCTCGCATGCTAAGCGAGCGCTCTACCATCTGAGCTACATCCCCGTTTTGAGACGTTCATTCCACTTAAGTTTAATAATGTCACTAAAGTGAAATTGTGGCACATTCGGAATGGTATTCATGGGCATCTTTCCACCTTTGAAGCTCACCCACCGAAGCAAATATCCCCACTTTAGGATTTATTCGTTGCGGGAAAAAGGAGAAACATTGTTTATTTTTATTTTTATTTTCATGCATATCTTTGTCTATGTTACATAGAAAAATTATCATCAAATTGGATGATAGAAAATTAAAAAAATAAACAAAAATGTAAACGAGAAAAAAAATGTTAAAATTATTTATTTTTAATGCAACAATATATTTACACTAATTGAATCACACAATGAACAACATAGTTATTGATTTTTTGGACTCAACTTCGTAAAAAATAAACCTATATTCATTAGTAAAATTGTAATATTAGAAAAAAAAATTCAATATACCAGACCGTATTATCGGTTCGGTAGATTGAATTTTTTTTAAAATATTAACTAAGGGAAATCATTTAATTTTTTAAAGTTGGAGAGCAAAATTATGAGACCGACCTAAAAGACGGACACGTGTAGGTCGCTAACCCACTACACAACACGTCAAAGTCTCCAACAACTTTTTTCATTTATTTATTTATTTGCACACTATCTTTTTTTTGCCGATATTTTTGCACATATTTTAGTAAAGATGACTTTCGTGGGTCCGACTTTTTTGATTCAGACTTATCTAGGTACACCAAAACGCCCTCATCACTCATAAGTTTTATTTTGATTTTCAGTAGAGTTATCAGTTATGAGTGTTTTTAATGGGCATATGAGAAATTTTATTTAAATCCATGTAATTTCTTTGTACACTTAATTTAAAATTTAAATATTAATTATTTATTTTACCTTATTGCATAATTACTATTAAGTACAAAATGAAATTAATAATAAAACTTAAATTTATTAATAAACTCAAACACTATAATTAAGCCATAAGATCACTCTTTGTTTATCTTACATTCATTCCGGCTAAACCCCTAATAGCTCTCATAGAGAAAAACAAGTTTTTTTTATTGATGGATGATGATTTTGAAGTTTTGAATCCTCCAATTTATCATATGTTTATTAAAATACAAATGCACCAATATTAGTTCCAGCTTTACTAGCTAAACAACAGCCAATGGCATTGAACGATCGAAGCTTCCACATAGAGCTCTAGCTCAACTCAATTTCTTCTTCCTCATTCCTTCTTTGATGATCTCCTCCTCTAGTCCCATAAATTTTTTTCCCAAATGAAACTGAGGCCTGGGTCAAGATATGTGCCATATTACTATTGTCTTTTGTTGCACCTCTATGAATAAGTATCCTAGTAATCCCAGCGTAGTGCAAAGACTCAACAATTTGCAGTGCAGTCACACATTTGTTAGTTCGAGCTTCAGCATCAACTCCTTTCTTTACCAACATCTTAATCACATCTGCATGTCCCGACTCCGCTGCACAGTGCAACGCGGTGTATCCATCCTCATCTTTAGCATCCATATCCACACCCTTTTCAAGCAATGTTCAAATGACTTCTATCTTCCCTTTGAAACAAGCTTTATGGAGAGCAGTCCACCCATGTAGGTCTCTTCCATTGATTGCTGCAGCTAACATTGAAGAAGTTAGCAGTGTTTTCTCCAGATTCTTGCGCAAACCACGTGTTTAAGGAGCCATACGGTTTACTTTATTAAAGCTATTCATATCTCATGTATGCATACATGATTGAAGACTGGTGACATATGCATACGTGGTTTGCAAGAAATCGTCTTGGATGCATGTGGGAATGGTTTATGATAGAACATTAATGTTGAAGTTTGGTTTTTATGGCAGGTATGAGTCACCTTACTGGAGAGGCCTTGCAGAAAGATGCATTCAAGTAAGCATGGATATACAGGAAAAAACGCCTAAAGCGAGCTGACACCTCTCAGTCTCAATCTCATTCTCAACCCAAATCTTGATCCCAATCCAATCATACATTGTTATAAGCTAAATAGCATATGGGTGTAAAGATAATCTTACATTTTGAATTGGGTTTGAGATGGTAGTTTAGGTAATAAATTTGGGTTTAAAGAGATATTAATTCTTTAATAAAAAACAATATGGGTAAAGAGAGTAAGTTGAGTGTAGAAAGAGGTTAGATGAGTTCAAATAAAATTTCCCTAGGCATATTTGTTGATTTGTCTATCAAACTTATATAGAGCTATTAATTTTCTTTTGAACTTTAATTTTAGTTAATTACTTCCCAATTTTTTATTATTAGCCGATTTTCTCCTTGAACTTTAATTTGAGCCATTTATCCCTTGAACTTTTATAAACAACCCATTTTCTCCTGATGCTAGATTTTAAATTTTTTATTCATTTTGATCACGCGGACAACACATGACAACTATATGTGGGCAAAAGAATGACAAATTGGATACGTGAAAATTGGATGAAGAATTTTAAAATCTATGTAGGGGAAATTAATGAAGAATTTTAAAATCTATGTAGGGGAAATTAGTTATTTATAAAATTTTAGGGGTACAATTAAAGTTCAGGAGGAAATTGGCTAATTATAATAGTTCAGGTAGTCAATCGACTAAAATTAAAGTTTAAAGAAAAATTAGCAACTTTGTACAAGTTTGAAAGACAAACTGACAAATACTTTTTTTTTATGTATATATTTTACCTTCGTTCCTCCCTAAAAAATTACATTTCATAAACTAAATTAGGATTATAAGGAACTAGAAGCATTTTATATGTATATTTTTTCATAATATGAACTAGAAGATTAAAACGAAAGTATACTTTCGGATCTCAAAGTCATTTTAATCGTTTAATAGTTAAGATTGTTAACATATGACAAATAAAACAAACTGAGCCAACTACTCGTATTGTTTGCAGACACACATAAAAGTCGTATTAGCACAATATTTCTTTTTTTTTGGGTAAAATTAGCACAATATTTCATACTACAGTGGCTAACAAAGAAGCAAATTAGCAGTACAACTTTGAACGTTAAGAGAGGATTTTTATAGACTTTGATTTTGTTCGCCCAAAAAGGAAATTTCAAGGGGTAAAATAGTCAACTGGGCTGTGCCATATGGGGCTGTACTGTACCACAGTAGTAGTGTACGTTTGTTATATACTACAACTGTAGACAGCCATTTTTTGTGCTTTCTTCGTCTCTCCTCCTTGTACCTTTCTCTCTCCCTCTCCCTTTCTCCTCTCCGGGGCTCAATTCCCCATTTCACTCCGATCCCCGAAAAACCAGTGCTCGAGAACCAGAAGCAGAGCAAAGATTGAGAGGTGATTACTGCCTTTGTGGTCCAAGTGAGAATTTTCTCGCTCGATTTGGTAATTTTCCATCACTTTCTCGAGAAAATAATCATGGGTTTTCGATTTGAATGTTTAATTTTCATGGGTTTTGTGTATTTCGTGTTTGGGGTAATCATTTTTACGCAGTTCTTAGATCTAATTTTCAGTTATGATCTTTCGATTTACAGCGAAATAGGTGCTTTTTCTGATCTGAATCTGATCGGGATCTGGGTCTTCGATTGGACTGATTTTCCTGCGATTCTTACCGTAAAGCTGTAATCTTTTAGCATTTTGGGGCTGAGTTGTAGAAGTAGATCGTTTACTCTGAGAATCGGACTGACTCGGCCGAGTTGTACTCTTTGACTCACTGAATCTTTTGTAATGGAGACTCTTCTGGTTGTGGCGCAGCATAAGAACCAGTACTATGGCCAGGGGAAGCCACACGGGCCGGGCCAAGTCGGCCCGTCGCCGTCCAAGGACTTCCGAGGGATCAATTGCCGGACTTTCCAATCCGGGTCAGGTATACTCCCAACCCCATCCAAGGCTTGCTCTACTCCTGTATCCAAACGGGGAGCATGCTCTGGTTCTCCTCCTAGGATAACTACAACTAGTCCAAACAAGATACATACACCTAGTCCAGTTTCACAGTCTGATAGCAGAACATTGAGTAGAAGCACCCCAATTGCTATCAATGTCAACAACTCGAAGAAAGGCAAGCACTTCAATGGAAGTTTTTCATTTTCTGAGCTCTGGGCCGGCCCGGCTTACTCGAACTCTCCCCCACCGAGTTCATTGCCAATCCCCAAGTTTTCAATCCGACCCAAGAGAACCGTGTCGCTCGAATTGCCCAAGTCGCCCGCTGATATCGAAATGCACCACCCAATTGCCAAGTCTACACCCGCATCCCCAACTAGGGAGTATTCTGGGTCTTCTGCTAGAGATCTCTTTCACAATGCTGATTCCGCGACCAAGACTCTGCGTCGCATTCTGAATCTTGATGTAGACGATGAATGAAGGGCAGATGGGAGCACTAGGCTCCTGTAAATAGGTTTAGATTGTATATAGAATGAATAAATTGGTTGGTAGTCTTGGGTTGTGATGAGTGTGCTTAGTTTTCTGTGGTGGTGCTACAAGTTAAAGTCATGGTTATGTTGGATGTGGAGTTGGCATTGGGGAGATGAATGGTTTTTCTCGAAAAAGTGGCATGGTATGTGTAATATGGGATTTTCGACATGGATGGGACCCGACCCGAAATTTTAAGGAAGCAGAAGGAAATTGTGATAGGCTTGTACTTTTGAAGGCTTGTTCTTTCGAAGTGGATGGTTGTCTGCACTATTGAATGGGGGAGATGATGGCTTATAGGGAAAAATTGGCATGGTATGTGTAATATGGGATTTTTGACATGGAACTTACGGAAGCAGAGGGGAACTAGTGGCACAGGGCTTGTACTTTTGAAGCGGATGGTTGCCAGCACTCTGGAATGGGAGGGATTGAGCAACCCGTCTTACATATGAAAGCAGAGGGAAACTACATTGGACGTGAACGTTCCAATGTAATCCCCTCACAAATTTGCTAATTCTTGTTAACCCTTTTAGAGTTAGGTGTAGGTGTCTTCTTTCGGTAACTGTACATGCTGTAGAATGTCTAGTGATCTATCCATACCGAACTTTGTAGGTTTCTATAGGTTTCACTTTTCTTCTGCGTTACGTCTTTTGTTTCCTTAGGGTTTAGATTTAGTGTCCTTCTAAATATTCTAACATTGTCTAGTCTCTTTGTTCCTTAGTTCAGCGTTGTCCCAATAGCTGCTTAGGTAATCTTCTTTCATTGAACACTCTTGCCTTTCCTGTTATAGCCTTGTTTGCATTCATACTCAACGAAACGTTCTTTACTTCTGATAACAATCTAACCCCTTTAACTACACTCTTATCAAAGGGTGTTCTCACCTTTCACAATCTTTTCTGTTTTTAAGAAAGAAAAGAGGGAAGGGGTAGTGATTGTTCTTTCGTACTTCTGCTTCATTGGTTTTTCGTCTTTAGGGTTGGTCAATCTGTGGTTCTGTCCTGTATCTGTATGATGTCCTGAGTTTGGAATTACCTATTAGTTCATTGTTCTTGTAAATGATGGTGCCGGTTGTGGTCTTCACATCGTATTCATCCTTGGAGATTGTTGATCTCGCCTCGCCATCGACAAGGTAATACATCTGTTTTCCTGTTCCCTTTCATTGTTGTGTTTGCCAACTCTTTTATAATTTGTTTCAGTTGTAACTAATTTCTTTTGAATGTGTGTGAAACAGGGTGCAAGTTGGTACACAGTATCCGGAGGTGTGTTCGTTAGCAGTTCATGATGTAGTCCTTTATGCGTGTAATAGTTCCTTGCTGAAGGCAAATGCGGTTCCATTACATCATCACTTGTGTTGAAGAATGCATGATGTATGGAAAAGCTGTTTGTCTTCCATCGATCCGGTGGAGCATTGTAGTATCGGACATGTTTGTGGTCACCTTTTATATCTTGTATTTATGTTTCAATGTTGAGCCTGTTCTTCTGTCGTCTAATTTAAACTTCGATGCTAGCTTGTTTATCGTTATCTTTCGTATTCGTACGTTAATTTTATGGATGTTAACATTATCTATCTGTTCGATTTATATGGTCTGTTCCATTGATGTTGCTGTATGGCGCATAATGTTCTTTCGATCGGCTTAGATGTGAATCATGTACTTTGAGTTGCTGATGATTCTGTCGCCATGACAATTTGAAACTTGACACCGTTCGCAAAACTTTTTCAGTCCGAAATACCTCCATTTTGCGAGAAATTATTGGGTGCTGTTTGTGTTGCGAATATCGGTATTGGTGATAATATTGATATTGTAAATTTGTGGGATGGAAATATCAATATCAGTTGGTTTTGATAGAAATTACCGAAATTTAAAATGAAACTTTAGAGAATGTCAAACTCAGATTTAGATGAAATATAAGAATCTTTTTTTGATATTTAACTTATATATCGAAAACATCAACAAAATTTGATATTGAAAATATCGATCATATCGAAAATATTTCAAACGCTAGTTGCAACCCGCGGTCAGACTCGAGAATATTGTCCAGCTTGGGGGGTGCTTCCATTTCATCTTTGAGGATTATTCTCATGGAAGATTGGTAATTTTGATGTATGTCGAGAAGGTTTCTCTTTTCCATAACTCTAATTCTCCAGTGTGCAAACCGGTTGGTACATATTTGTGGAGGCTCTCAAGTTAAACAAGAAATTCCTAAACGGATTTTCGTTTGAGCATCTCCTACGAACCAAGCTCTTGGTGGTGATCTGTCCATGGTTGTTTTGTCTTGTGACCAAAGCATTTGATGATTTGAAGAGCGAGTTACATGAAACAGGGATGCGAAGGGGGTGGTATCTAAGCATGTCATGTGTTTCAACTTGTCATGTGCCGCCACTTTAGAGTCCCATTTCATTCAAGTATTTTTTGACAGGAGGTTGATAGCCACACCCTTTCTATCATCGTACACCCTTATGTTTAATTTTGTTCTTTTTTTTTTTTTTTTGATAACTAGGAAAACACATTCTAGGGCTAAGAAGCCGAACATAAGCAAGAAAGCCTACAAAGAGGCAAACACCACGAAAACTAAACCAGAGCAAAGCAGTGAGCGGGGATACAAGCCATAGACACTTGAACTAAGTTAAATGGTCACCCCAAACCCACCACACCAAGCTAATGAGGACAAGGAAGACCCCCATTTTCGTTAGTTCATGTTTTATGTTTAATTCTGTTCATTTTGTTCATTTTGTGAAAGCATTATGCAATTTGCTGCTGTATTATTGCGACCGAGTGTTCTTTTCCCTTCAATCATTGCTGATTTGTTGCTGCGGTCCAGTTTTTCACTGTGGTATAGGCGTGGAACGTGAACAGGAGAAAGGGATGAATGCCAAAGCCAACTTTGATACTTGTTTCAACAGTAACATTTGACAGACAACATTCCTTTTTGTCCGATCCCTTTAGGCAGCCTTTATCTTAAACTAGTCTTCTTTTCCCTCTTTCCTCATTACATCTTCGAAGTGCTTTTGGCTTCTTGGTAAGTTGGCCTCATCAGGCTCTGTTTACTCATGTGAGAGATTCTGATGTGCAACTGATGACATATTTTATATTGTTTACACCTCTAGTTTTACACTTTTATCGCGTGATGTTAGAGATATATATAAAAAAATATTTTCTCGGATACATTGTGATCTCTTTCTTTATACATTTATCGTTAGCTTTACTTATTTATACGAGAGATTTTGAGGTGTAACCTAAGATTACTTCATTGTATTTATATCCTCCATATATTTACTATGAGTAAGTTTGTTGATATACAAAGGGATATATCTTCAGCCATGCTGATAAATACACCCATCACAAGTTTTGCCTATTCACACGAGAGATTATGTTGTGAACCAAAGATATACCTCTCATTCAATGCACTCAACATGATTGGCGATATGATTTTTTTTTTTTTTTGCCTTCTGTTTTTGTATTAAATAGTGAATTTAGGGTTAATACCGTTTCTTTCACGTATTTGATTAGCGAAATGTGTTTTATTAATAGATAACTAGCATACGAGATACTTTATAGTTTATTGTGTAACCTAAGATTCATTGTATTTATATCCACCATATATCTACCATGACTAAGTTTGTTGATATACAAAGACATGTATCTTCAGTTGTACTGATATATACATTCATCACAAGTTTTGCTTATTCGTGAGAGACTTATTCACGTGAGAGATTATGTTGTGAACTGAAGATATACCTCTCATCCAATGCGCTCTACATGACTGCCATTTTTTTTTTGGAGTTTTAACAAAACACTTCTGGTACTGTTCACTCTTAACGAAAAACCACTTTTTTACCTTTCCCTGATACTATTCACTACGCCTTTATTTGTCTATTTTCATTAAAACTAAAGTTTTTTTTAGAGTTTTCGTTAATTATTATTATTATTTTTTATATTGAAATAGTGAATATAGGGTTAATACTTAATACCGTCCTTTTTGTGTATTTGATTGACAAAGTGTGTTTAATAATATGTGGTTTAGATAAGATACCCATCATGGATAAATTTTCTATTGTGTCAAAAATACGGTTTGGTACACTAAGTGTCAGAATACAAATAATTTTTTTTAAGTATCTAACCATTTGTGTTATGACATTTGTTATACAAAATCGTGTTTCTGGCACATTAAAAAATCTCTTGGTATCGTGGTATGTTGGATGATGCAAGCAGATGTTGGTAATGATAGGAAAACTAATGCAATAAAATCTAGAGTAAATATCAGTTTACCATCCTCAAGTTTCGTGGTTTTCAACATTTGGTACATGAAGTTTTTTTCGTCCAAGAGTTATACCTAAAATGTTAATTTTGAGAGTCTCATACATCCGTTAGTCAAACTGTTAACTCTGCCGTTAACTGATGATGTGACGTCTATGTGGACAATGACTTGATGTCACGTGTCATTAAGGGGGTCCACGTGGAAATTAAAAATTCAAAAAAAATAATTATTTAAAGAAAAGTTCAAAAAAAAAAGAAAAAAGCAAGACCCAGATCTTCTCGTCACCTAAGCAATCCAAGATGCCGCAAAAAATCCTATCTAATTTTAGCTTCCTTTCCTATTCCGCCAAAATCCCTCGTCTGAGTGTTAAGATAAGGTGTCGATTCTTTCATCTTCTTTCGACCTGCCATTTGCAATTGCGAATCGCGACCGACCTGTTCCCCTTCGTCACATCGCCGTTGCGAGCGTCCAATCAGCCGAATCGACATTTCCTCGTCGACTCCTCTCACCACCCTTCCCTCTTCTCCTCCATTCATCTGCTCCTAACACAAACATTCTCCCAATATATTTGTTAGCTCTAATTCTCCAAAACCCTAAATCAAAATCAAAATCCAAAATTTTCGAATTTGAGTCATACAATTAGGTCCATCTGCACAGAGAAGAAAGAGAGGATGAGAAATGTGTGGATAAAGGCAGAGACTTAAAATTGGGGAATGATTTGAACAGAAGCTCGAGGTTTTCCCCAAATCCCCCCGTGCCTACCCTCCCACCCACACCTAGATCGTCTTCCCCAAATCCCCCGTGCCCACCCTCCCACCCACACCCAGATATTCCCGTCGACCAGTGTCCCCCCTCCAACCCAAACTTTCCTTCACCACCCCACTCTTGCGGTCGCAGGTGACGCAGAGGGTCGGGACTCTCTCTCTCATGTCGATTCTCGATCTCATCCCTCTCTCTCATGTCGACGTCTCCCTCCTCGCCTCGATCTCTTCGTCAACGTCGGAGAAGTAACTGTCATCGAGGAAGTTGACAACAGATTTGATAGAGGGGACAAAATCGGTGGCCGAGTTCATCGAGTTGTAGAAGGGCGTGATCGAGACTCGTTTGTGGCGTTGGCTAAGAGGGTTGGCAGGGTGGATGTCGCGGTCGCAGGTGACGTAGAGGGTCGGGACTCCCTCTCTCTTTCCCCCTACACACTCTCTCTCTCTCTCTCTCTTACTAAACCTTCTTCTTCTTCTTCTTCTTCAAGTTCTTAATCCCAGCTTGGGGGAACGGTCGATGGGGAAGATCTAGGTGTGGGTGGGTTTTTTTGGTTTTTTAGTTTAGTTTAGTTTTTTTTATTTTTTTTAATATTTAGTTAATTATATTTTTTGAATTTTTAATTTTCACGTAGACCCTTAATGACACGTGTCGTCTAGTCATTGTCCATATAGGCGTCACATCATCAATTAACGGCAGTGTTAACAGTTTGATTAACGGATGTATGAGACTGTTCCAAAATTAACACTTTAGGTATGACTCTAGAACAAAAAAAATTTTATGTACCAAATGTTAAAAACTAAAAATCTTAAGGATAGTAAACTGATATTTATCCTAAAATCTAAGTGAACTTCAAAAGTTGGGACAGCCTCTGCAATTTGCATCACAGTTCTTAACTGCTACCGATATTTAATTATCCGAGCCATCAAGTAATGTATAAATAATAGGTATGGAAATTTGGATCCATTTATTGGACTGAGTCTTTCTCCATTTTATTTATCCTTTATCCGATCAAACTGTCGCCTCTTTTTAATTATTCTCGAGAGTTTAAAATTTCTATACTAATTTTGTGTGTGATTTTTCTATCGATTATATCATTAAGTTTGCATGAAATTAAAATACTTTATTTTGGTCTATAGTTTTGCAGTTGTTATCATTTATTAAGTTAGCTTTGAGGTGATTTACTCTCTTACGTTACCGAAAATAAAAAATTATGACCTCCCCACAACCAAAAAAACAAAACCTCTTGTGCAGTTAAAATTATCAACGATTGATTAGAAAAGACTAAAGTTGGGCAGGTTCTGAGTCTTTCCAAGTTATGCAAGTAGGGAAGGAGAAGAATTTACATGTACCTAGGACGTTAAAAGGATGAACAAGTTAAAACGTAAAACATATAACGACTTATCATAATCATAGGACATTAAGTCATTAATTTAAAAAACTCAGAACTCTACAAACTTAGAATACCTCATCCTCTCTTATCTTTATCTGCAGTGGAGAGGGTATGAAAACATAAAAAAGGATTAAATAGGAAGACCTAACATTTTTTGTCTCTAAAATCAATCATTCAAGAACAACTCCTAAATGTATCATCAAGTTGTGTGTTCCCAACTTCATCCAAGAGCATTTCTTGGTACCGGCATTCTTGACTGCAAAACGCCTTCTCGCCTCTGCACGAGACATTCAACAGACAATAAATCGTTATTTAATTAGAAACAAATGTTGAAAAAATGATTTAAGCGTAGGATACATATAACCGCTACAAATGTTTGATCAAAAGTAGTAGAAACACTAAACCAATAATAAACGGTATGTATATTGTTTAGTGATTATTAAGAGAAGCATGCAATCCAATATCTTCGTCTTCGTGCTTCAAACTTCCAATAATTGAATAAGAACGTGTTTGAGATGGCTTCTAAAAAAGCTAAAAGTGTTTTTTGACGATCAGAAATACTTATGATTACGCTAGACAGAAAAACTTATAAACTATGTAGGTCGGAGAAGTGTGTTCTGGGGAAGAAGACTAATCCTGTTCCTAAAGTAAAAAGCACCTACGACAAAAGCCCTTACGAACAGTATTTCGTACAAAAACAATTTCACAGTAATTATTTGAAGAAGAGCTAGAACTGTTTTTTGACGATAAAAAGCACTTCTGATTACGCTAGATATAAAAACTTATAGACTTTGTAGGTATTAAAAGTGTGTTTTAGGAAAGAAGACTAATCCTGTTGTTCAAGTAAAAAGCACCTACGACAAAAGCCCTTATGAACAGAAGTACTTCCTACAACAACAGTTTCGGAGTAATCATTTGAAGAAGGGGCCATTGAAACGAACCTGTAAATGTAGATGTCAATCTTCTGCTCAAGATTCTTCCTGCATGTGTAACAAAAGCTAAGGAAATTCTCAGAACCGGAGCTCGACTGATCCGACAAAGTATGGTAACTTTCCACAATGCAGTTATCAAATATGTGAGTCGTTCTCGGCTTCGGCCCACGAGAAATCACACAAGTATAATCCTCAGAAAGCTCCATTTCACTTCTCTCACTCACACAACCAGACCCTGAACCCGAATTCGGGTTCTCTGTTTGGATGCCAGAGTTAACAGACCCAGTTTCTGAAAACTGGGAATTCAAAGTCTTGGGGATTTGAACTCTGAGCTTAGTGCCAAACAGGACCTTACGGTTACTGGTTTTTGAATTTTTGTCTTCCAAGTTTTCATCTTTGAGTGTTTGAACCAGAGCAAGGCCAATGCCTTTGGCCTCAGATTTCTCCCAAAAGGGTTTGTTTCCGGGTTGAATTTTTGGGGTTTTGGGTTGGATTTGGTCACCCGAAAACGGGTTTTTTCCGAAGGGGAATGGCTTGGTGGTGTCAAGAATTGAAGTTGGGCTGATCAAATTTGAATCGGTTTCGGAACTGCCCTTCATCGTGAAGCCTCTGAATCTTGGAGAGTCGAAGAAGGATGGGCTTTTTGAGTAGTTTTTTTGAGTTAGAGACGGTTGAGAATCCGCCATTAGAGGTTGCTTGCTGGTCACTGTTCTGGATCTGTTCCTCAGCATTACTTTGCTCTATAGCAAATGAACTAAATTAATCACTGCAAAATAGCTAAAAAATTAATCAGATATTTGCATGAGAGACGGTGACAATATTCGAGAAGCGGTATTCGGTATTCGGAAACTTACCCTGATAGTCCGGCTATGAAACAAACTTCACTCAAAAATAACCTTTTGAGTATCAAAAGTAGAGCAAAATTAATCCAACATTGCCATGCGAGAGATTAGCAACAATAAAGAAAGAATATATGAGAACTTTAGTACTTACTTTCAGTAGGTCAGTAATTCCGGCTATGAAACAGACGTTTGTCTTGAAAATCACTATGAGCTTGAAAAGTAGAGTAAATTAAATGGTTTTCTTCCTATTCAATGAAGAAAAAGGAAACAAAGGGAAGAATCTCAGATAAAAAAATGAAAGGGGATTCTTGCTAAATTTCAGTGGCCTCCATAGATGAAAGCTTAAAAAAACAACATAAAGTGGTTTTTTTTTTTCTTTCAGTTGTGGTTATATTTTTTTGGGGATTGGAACAAATTGGGGCTCAAATTCCCATCATAACAAAGAGCATGCATGCCATGTGATCAGGGCAGGGAAATATAAGAAGAGAGCAGCTCTGGCATTTAGCAGCAAATGGAGTTCTATATCCCCTCTTGTCTCAGGCACATTTGGCATAAATGCTTTTGCTTCTTCCCATGAAATGAAAGAGCCATCATTTCATATAAGAACCTCTCTCTCTCTCTCTCTCTCTCTCTCTCCCCCTCTCTTAAAATATTTCACTTTTTGCTAGTGGGTTTTGCATCCCATCGATCAAGTTCACTTCCTCTGGGCAGGAATTTGCAACTTGGCCAAAAGAGAAAGCGAAAGATGGAGAAAAGAATAGGCCCTTTGTTTTAAAAGGGAAGAGAAAAGAGTGGGGTTTCGGGGTGCCTTTTATCCTTTTGAAGAGTGAGAAACAAGATAAAAATTTTAGCTAGACATTCTAACCACGTCATTTATAAGATAACTCTCATAGATAAATAGATGAGAAAAAAAAAATTGAGGTTCTACGATAAATTAGATGTAATTTATCAAATGGACGAAAAATCTTGAATTTGCCGATTACATCTAGTTCAACATAGTAAATTGGCTGAAAAGATAGTTCATGAAGAAAATTGACAATTAGGTTATAGTTTCAGTCTAATCTTTAATCTAGTCTAAAGAGTAATTGACAGTAAAAGGAGTAACTTAATTTATAAGTACATGCAAAATTCCTTAAGTCACCGATGTGAAATTCAGACTCTTAGACACTTCCTACATTTCAATGGCTTATTTTTAGCTATGGCGTCTAAAACTCGATTTTAATCTTATTTTGTCCTCCTCCACCCTACCACATGTGTGTGTAATTTAAAAGGTGTTACTTTACTCCCTAAAACTCAAAATTCACTCCATTTTGCCTTTGAAACTCGATTTTGATCATATTTTACTGATGAAACTCAAAAGTCATCATTTTACTCTATTAAACACAAAATTTGCTCCAAATTGCCTTAATCATGTTAACTCCATTATGTGGGTTTGATTTTGGTGTACCAGCTAATCCATTTCTTTTTTATTTTTGTCATATCTTTAATTTATTTTAAATTTAATTTTTCTGATTATTGAATGTTAATGCATAGTGGAGATCTATAATTAAATTTATTGGCACATATGGTATAGTCTTATTGAGTAGTAGGTCTCACATATATTCCAGATGCGACTTGTGAGTTTCAGATAAAAGAGACCGTTCACAAGTTAAAATAGAATAAATTCCGAGTGTCATTGAGTAAAGTACATACTTTTGAGTTTAAAAAAAAAAAACAAACGAAATCAAATCAAGTTCTAGACAACGTAACTAGAAAATAAGCCTATTTTAATATTTGTGTTCCACCGCTCGTATGCGGTCCTCATAACTCATAAGAAGTATTGAGTATTGACCACACAGCCACAAAACCCAGAAATTCGAATTTTTATTTTTTTCTAATATTTTACTTTTGTAGTTTTCTTTTCTCACATGATTGAATAGCTTTCTTTCTCTAATAAAATAATAAAATAGGCATCTATTTTCTCAAACAGATTAAATTTTGTCTTTCTACGAAGAGGCTTTGTGAGGAGAAATTTTTTATTGTGATGGAAACACTGGTGATATATAATATGTTTTTATATAAATGGTGAGAAATTTTATTTTTTAAGTTATTAACATTTTAAGATACATATTCCACCATTTATATAGTGACATATGATGTACCACCTCGTTTGCCGATTACACTGAAAAATCTCTTCTTTGTGGGGGTATTTTGTCGTGACTGGCTTGGACTTTGTGTGAAACTCTCTCTGCGGACTCTGCAGTTATGAATGCACAAATAAACGCACGCACTCATACGAAGTGTTGAGCTCATCCCTACGTTTCTCTTTGATTATATATATCCACCATGCAAAGTTATTATATAGTTTCCATTTTGATATTACAATGCACAAATTATTGGTATCACATCACTCTCTCTAGTTAAGTGATAAAACACAATTAATCATGAGTATATAGTTACTTAAGAAATACTAATTAAGACTCTTTATGGATTCTTTGATACCACACATTTAACGTTAATTTAATTATTGGTATCACATCACTCTCTCTAGTTAAGTGATAAAACACAATTAATCATGAGTATATAGTTACTTAAGAAATACTAATTAAGACTCTTTATGGATTCTTTGATACCACACATTTAACGTTAATTTATGTTATAACATTATAAGATATTGTGCTGAAGACATGAAGTGACAAAGAATCCATAAAGAGTTTCAATTTTGAAAAAGTTTCTTTAGCATTTTTCTAGTTACTTTATTAAAATAAGGTTTTTTTTAGTCAAAATGATATCTGAAATTTACATAACTAATCACTTTGGTTGTTGAGATTTAAAATCAATAAATGTGGTCCTTGAGTTTGTCCACCATCAATCATTTTGGTTATTACTTGAAAAATTATGCTAAATAAGGACCAAATAATAAAAATACACTCAATTTAATAAACAATGAACCTACACAATTTGACAAAAATTTAAGGTAATTTCATCATTTCATTTTTATTTAATGAAGATTTTTTACGGAAAAACCAAAATGATTGATGGTAGACAAACCCAGAGATCACTTCTACTGATTTCAAATCTGAGAGATCAAAGTGAAGAATTATATAAATCTCAAAAACAATTTTGGCTAAAAAGCCTTAAAAGATCTGTAGTTAGTAGGGCGGTGTCAATCATAAGCGAGGGTTGCCAACCTTGACTTGTGAAAAGTTATTGACTGAATTACTATCGAGTAGCTGGGTAAGACAGAATCGCAACTAAACACACTTTTCTACTCCAACCATCAATTATGGTTGTCTTTTACTTTCCTTTTTAATTCGCCCAAGTTCACCCACTTCACTCAAATCTTTCTGTTTAACTCTTTTCTTGATCTCTTAAGCTGACCTGAATTGTCTACCCTCCTCCATTTCATCTCCTTCTATTTATGTGGTTATGGTTAAGCCACGTCAACATTTTATATTGATTTTTTATAGAAATAATAAGACCAAAAGCAATGGGAATATAAAATGTTGACGTAGCTTAACCGTGACCACAAAATAAGAAGGATGAGAAGCGTATGAGATCGAGAGGACAGACAATCTAGGTTCCTCTCAAGCAACACTCGCTAGGACTTACCTACCAATAATGTAACTTAGACAAGAACCACCAAGCCTTTATACTTCGCCCAATCAAAGGAAAAAAAAAAGGTCCGAACCCGCCACCGACAATTAGTAGGTTTTCGTGGCAAGACGTACATGTCGTATGATAAAATATCTTGCACGACTCAGCTCCTTGATTAACCTAGATTTGGTTAAAATTTGGGAGAGTACCAACATTTCATGAAGCAAAAGTTAAAACACTTTCGGCATAAGTTGTTTTAAACATTCGATGAAACGAACGTTACCACATTGCTACATTATTTGTGTAGCACACGTTTGCTAAATGCGTTCCCATTGCAAAAACGAGGCTCTTGTTTTATGCAAACAATAACTCATAACCCCTCATCTGGCATGTGGTGATTAGAAATACTAATCCATTCTTTAGCGGATTTCGACTTTTGAGTTTAGTCTAAAATGCTTAGTTTTACCTCACAGATGCAAAATCCAGTACTACTTAAATGTAATCAGTTGTATGCTTTCTTTGATAAGGATAGTGATATTCACATGCTCATTTTTACTTCTGACATACCATGTGGCCTAAGCTTTTGTCTTCGCAACATTAAAGGTCAGTAAATAATTAACATGGTACATCTATCCCACATGACTAGCTAGGCTTTAGATGAAAGTTTTGGAACGTTCTTGACTTTGTTTTTACTACATTTCACACTCTATTTCTTAATACAATATTTTAAAAAATAAAAGTCAAAAGGGTACATTTTATAATCAAAATACAGAGAGAAATGATGGATGAAGAAGCTTAAATGAAGAATTATGAGGGAACTATAGAAGAATCATATAAGGAAGAAAACACAATGAAAATTAAAATCAAAATCAAAATTTTAAATAAAATTTTATTTTCATTGATTCATCTTTGTTTCTTTCTGTTTCTCCTATTTAGCTTCTTCACCTATCCCTTTTTGTTCTATGTACTTTTCTCAAATCTTGAACAAAAAAAATAAAAAAATAAAAAATACAAATCCAAAGTTTAAAACTGAATAGTTATGACTGGCCATAAATTAATTAGCCTCATTTAGTTCACCCACTTTTTCTTTGACGTGGGAGATAAAGGAACAACGTTGTTATTCTCAGAAAGAGATTTCGGCTAAGTGACATAATATAGCAACTATAATGATCAAGTATTGTAATTACTGCTCGTCATTTATAAGAACTCTTATTTACAATTGAAAATAAACACAACTAAATGATAATACTAATTAGACGAAGGTTTAGATTGCGGAAAACTAATTTTTTATTAATACTTAAATTACCTATTAACAAAACCTTCTTTAAAAGAGATGAACAGATTAAATCAACCCTATCAACAAAACTAAAGAAAAATAATCAAAATAAAAGTTATAGGCAATATCGTAAATAAACACAAAATAATTTTACTTTTTTTTTCAAAGCTCACAACTAGGTAAACATATCATTTCTCTCAAATAAACTAAACTTTTTTGTAATGAAATAATTATTTAGAAACAGTCACTAAATATATAAGGGAAATTTTATTTGAACTCATCTAACCTCTTTCTACACCCAACTTACTATCTTCATCCATATTGTTTTTTTATTAAAGAATTAATATCTCTTTAAACCCAAATTTATTACCTAAACTATCCTCTCAAACCCAATTCAAAATGTAAAATTATCTTTACACCCATTCCCTTTATAATTGCATATGTCGTATAAGACTAGCATTTCCATGGTTGCTTTTTTTCTTTCTGCTACCACAACCCATCCATGGACTTGGGATCCAAGAGATCATTCCATAGACTTGAATTTTCCAAGAGAATGTTAAGCAAGCTCCAGTTCAGTCATTTTTAAATCGAGCATTTTCATGTACTTTTTTAAAAAAACTTTGAAGTGACATAGGGTTGAGTGTTTTGCTGCTATGTTAATAAACAAATAAACAAATTGGAGCTATTTCAAATAAAAAATGTGCAAGACATGTCACCCGCTAGTTCATGGTTAAGGTTGAGCAATCTTTATTTGCA